GCAAACGGCTTGGAAAAGCGAAACCAGCTCCGCGGTTTCGGTCCGGCTTCGCTCTGCGGTGGCTTGGAAAAGCGAAGTCGGAAATCCGACCTCGCTCCACACCGAAGTCGGATTGGGGCCTGGTGCGGGCCTGGTGCGGGCCTGGTGCGGGCCCTCTCTACAGAGAGAGGTAGAGGTCTTGGTGAACTTTGCTGAAGGAGCTCAAACGGTGAGCTTCTTTAAATTCGCAGGTCGGGTGTTGCGCTGGCGTTCGCCTGAGAATTTGCAGATTCTCACTGTTTGAGAAACTGCTGAAAAGTCTTCTAAGGTGCTCTCTCTTTAGAGGGGGTTTCCCAAATGGATTCTATTCCACCTGGGAGGCTCCTAGCACTCGTCCGTCCAGGAAACGACCTCGTCCTGCGAAGGATTCCTAAAACGCTGCGTGCAGGCGTGTGGCTGCAAAATAGTGACCCCTAGATATGCTTGCAATTTGGCTCCAGGTTGCATTTCAAGCGAGCCAAGCTTTGCAGGGCTAAGAAAAAACAAAAACAGGAAAAAAAGGGGGTCCCCAAAAAAGGGGTCCGAAAAGGGGTTTTACATGAGGTGCATTTTGCACCGGTGAACAAATCAAACAAACCCCCTTCTTATTTGATGTCTTCTCCACGAAAGACGAGCCTGATTTGTTCGTCGAGGGTTCTCCCGTTCGCCCGTCTGTGCGCGAACTCTCACTCCGTCGCCGCTTTTTTTCTCTGCGGCGCGCGCGGTGCCATGGCATGGCGCAAACGCGGAGTTCTCTGCAATCCGGAAGTATTTTGCTGGTTGAGGTGCAAGATTCGGCTGTGGCTCAAAAACATGTACCAAAAAGGCACCTAAATGGAACCAAGGACTAAAACCTGCGTACCCCGACTCTTTAATTTTGAGCCACACCCATGATGAATAATCTAAGTTCATGCCCACATCGCTGCAAAAGCGCATGGCGAACTTTCACTGCTCTCGACGCACTGCTCCACATGTGCAGAAGGCCATGCCTTGCATTTGAGGCGAAAGACCTAGGACTTTCACTGCTCTCGCCGCGTTTTTTTTGTTTTGTTTTTTTTTTTTTTTCTTTTTTTGGAACCAGAACCGCATCGCCCTGTTTTGCTCATCGGGCTCTTTCCCCTTGAGTTTCTTCGACCTCCTTTCTGTTCCGACGTGTCACGAAAACGCGATCGAGCTTGCTCAACGGAAGTTTCCTTTTGAGCGTGTCAGATTCCGCGAGTAAAGAAAGGCAGCTCCCGTCGGCGGCAAATGTTTTGGTCGTGGAAACCCCGAGGCAAACGCGTCGGCCGCAAACTCCGGGTACCGTCGCCTCGTGGGGTTCCAAGGAATTCGAAGGAGAAGCTGAGCTGAGATTCAATTGGGTTTCTATGAAACCCCCAAAAACCCAATGGGTTTTATAAATGGAGGTTTCGTTGGATAAACTTGGGGCATCGAGGCACAATCAACGCGCCGTTTCCGGGGTGCTTTCTCGCCATGGCGTGCCCGCACCTGTCGAATCGCTGTGTCCCATGGGATCACGTTGATGCGCCAGTCGAAACATGGCGCAACCCCATCGTATGATGTCGACCCTGTACTAAAAAGGAGGTATTTACCATGGAAAACCAGGTTCTCCAAGAAATACCCTGAAAAAAACGGGCATTTGGAGTAGGGTGTCCTCTGCCAGTTGCGAGGTGACTCTCCGATGTTTGCTTCCGACTCGCAGTGGCTCAAGAAAGCCGGGGGGGGTACTGCGACAACGGCGAAAGCGCAAAAAGCGAGTTGCCGCTTTGCTGAAGTTATATGCGGGTTTGTCTTGAAATAGGGGAATCCCCCTTTTTCCATCGGCTTCCTTCTGGTTTCCCTTTACCCACCAAGGGGACCTAAAGACATCATGTCACGTTGGCTTCGAAAGGCGTTCCGAGCTTATCCCCGGCGGCTGGATTTCATTCCACGCGTAACGGCAATCCCATGGCCAAATCCGAAGCCCCGAACCCTCTGAAACCCACTGTTGCCGTACCCCCGAACCCAACCCGAAACCAACCCGAAACCAACCCAAAAACCCAACCCACCTTCAACTCACCCCAAGCCAACCCCAAACAATCCGATACCAACCCTAACCCAGCACTGCACCGACCTTGAACCAGTTTTGATTCCACCCTCAATCACCCTAACCACATCCCTGAACCCCTTAAACTTACCTCCCCGAATCCACCATGACCCCAACCTGAAATCCATCAAACCCAAACCAACCCGAAACCAACCCTAAACCAACCCTACACCAACCAACCTTCACTTCCAAAGCCACAATCATCCCCCCCACCGAAACCACACGTGCAGCGCCGTGGACTTTGCCAGAGCTCCATGAGTCGTTGCAAGAGGAATTGTGTTGATTTGGGGTGTTGCGACGCGGAAATTGGCGCGGTGTTGGTCTAGCTGGTTGGAAGGGAGCCGCAGGGAGCTGCCCGGTATCCAAACTTGCCTTGTTGCAGAAGCCTTTCGCTACCAGGAGGAGGTGTGGTTAGGGACATGTGGTTCAACTGACGATGGGCCTTTGTCAGCATTTTTTGAACAGCGGCCGCGCCGTTTTCCCAATCTGGAAACAGGTTGAACTCCCACTCCATTCGCTTCCTTCCCTCAAGCCGAGGACATGGCGGAGGCCGGGAAAGTGAGGAAAGAGGTGGGAACGGATGGGTTGACATGTCGCAGATCTCCTTTTTTTTTTGCCAGCCAAAAGGGGTGTTCGGCAAAGAAATGCGCGGCGCACGTCCATTTACTCGTTTTGTCAACTCCCTGAGCCATGATTTTGAAAGCAGTTGAGCAATGGCGGCGAGAAGTGAAGCGTTCAGCTGACAGTCGTTGCCAACAAAACGTGCATGCCAGCAGCCTTTTCAGCTGCAGAATGGACATGGTGCAAGCCCTAGGATGCCCGTGCCTGCGACTGCATCCACACCTTCACCGGACACACCCGCTTTGTCACATCCATGTGCAGTCTTGGCAGGGATCTCTTTTGCAGCGGCAGCTGGGACAGCACCATCAAGCTATGGAACTCCCGAACCAAAGACTGCATCCACACCTTCACCGGACACACCAATTGGGTCAGATCCATGTGCAGTCTTGGCGGGGATCTCTTTTGCAGCGCCAGCGACGACAAAGCCATTAAGCTATGGAACTCCCGAACCAAAGACTGCGTCCACACCTTCACCGGACACACCAATTGGGTCATTTCCATGTGCAGTTTTGGCAGGGATCTCTTTTGCAGCGGCAGCTGCGACGAAACGATCAAGCTATGGAACTCCCGAACCAAAGACTGCGTCCACACCTTCACCGGACACACCAGTGCTGTCACATCCATGTGCAGTCTTGGCGGGGATCTCTTTTGCAGCGGCAGCTGGGACAGCACCATCAAGCTATGGAGCTCCCGAACCAAAGACTGCATCCACACCTTCACCGGACACACCAGTGCTGTCACATCCATGTGCAGTCTTGGCGGGGATCTCTTTTGCAGCGGCAGCTGGGACGAATCTATCAAGCTATGGAGCTCCCGAACCAAAGACTGCATCCACACCTTCACCGGACACACCAGTGCTGTCACATCCATGTGCAGTCTTGGCGGGGATCTCTTTTGCAGCGGCAGCTGGGACGAATCTATCAAGCTATGGAGCTCCCGAACCAAAGACTGCATCCACACCTTCACCGGACACACCAGTGCTGTCACATCCATGTGCAGTCTTGGCGGGGATCTCTTTTGCAGCGGCAGCGGAGACACAACCATCAAGCTATGGAGCTCCCGGACCAAAGACTGCATCCACACCTTCACCGGACACACCAATAGGGTCAGATCCATGTGCAGTCTTGGCGGGGATCTCTTTTGCAGCGGCAGCGGAGACGAATCTATCAAGCTCTGGAATTCCTGCACCTGTGGCTGCCTTCACACCTTACCGGACACACCTGTGCCGTCACATCCATTTGCACTCTTGGCGTGGATCTCTTTTGCAGCGCCAGCTTCGACCACACAGTGAAGCGCTGGAATTCCCGCACCTACGACTGCCCCCGCACCTTGACAGATTGGGTCAGATCCCTTTGCAGTTTTGGTGGCGACAAGATCTGGTTTGCACACCTTCACCGCCCACAAGGAAACATGCAGTTGTTTGATGCGTGCGCGGCCACGCAATCCTGTTTGCAGCGTGAGAGCAAACAAGGGCAGTAATGTTTCTGGTGTAGCAGACTTTTGGCCAAGTCTAAGCACTTGCAACACGCGGTGTCGAAAAAACACGTCAAAAAGGAGCCTTCCAGTGCAGACATTTGCGCGCCACATTTGGGTGATTAGTATTAATCTAGTTTTCTTATGCCTCGCTTGGTTTCAGCAAAATCAAGCACTGTAGTCAATGCGTCTAACCCCCTTTGCAATGGGCCTTGCTCACAGCGCTTTCGTTCCTCTTGTCAGGAGGAAGTTGTTCCGGATCAAGTCACGTTTTTTTCTTGTGTTTCCGATCCCCTGGCTGTGCCAATGGGAATGAAACTTTTGCCTATGGTGAGTCTGAGTTTTAGCCCAAGTCATCCAAACAAGTCGGCGAGGCAGCGTTTCTACTGGGAGGTCGATGGGCACGGTTTGATTTCCTCACCCAAGCCACTGCCAACGCTGCAAAAAATTGGCGCGGTGCGACCGCCATGCGTGGGGGGCCCCCACCCCCGCCCCCCCCGCACCCCCCGCCCTCCCCTATCCTGCGCAGGCGAGCCGCGATGACAGCCTCCACACCTTCACCGGACACACCAATTGGGTCAGATCCATGTGCAGTCTTGGCGGGGATCTCTTTTGCAGCGCCAGCGACGACAAAACGATCAAGCTATGGAGCTCCCGAACCAAAGACTGCATCCACACCTTCACCGGACACACCCGCTTTGTCACATCCATGTGCAGTCTTGGCGGGGATCTCTTTTGCAGCGCCAGCTGGGACACCACCATCAAGCTATGGAACTCCCGAACCAAAGACTGCATCCACACCTTCACCGGACACACCAGTGCTGTCACATCCATGTGCAGTCTTGGCGGGGATCTCTTTTGCAGCGTCAGCGACGACAAAACGATCAAGCTATGGAGCTCCCGGACCAAAGACTGCATCCACGCCTTCACCGGACACACCAATAGGGTCACATCCATGTGCAGTCTTGGCGGGGATCTCTTTTGCAGCGCCAGCTGGGACACCACCATCAAGCTATGGAACTCCCGAACCAAAGACTGCATCCACACCTTCACCGGACACACCAGTGCTGTCACATCCATGTGCAGTCTTGGCGGGGATCTCTTTTGCAGCGTCAGCGACGACAAAACGATCAAGCTATGGAGCTCCCGGACCAAAGACTGCGTCCACACCTTCACCGGACACACCAATAGGGTCAGATCCATGTGCAGTTTTGGCAGGGATCTCTTTTGCAGCGCCAGCGAGGACAAAGCCATTAAGCTATGGAACTCCCGAACCAAAGACTGCGTCCACACCTTCACCGGACACACCAGTGCTGTCAGACACTGTCAGATCCATGTGCAGTCTTGGCGGGGATCTCTTTTGCAGCGCCAGCGACGACGAAACGATCAAGCTATGGAATGTCCCCCAGGCTGGCCTCGTGACTACGCGCGCAACATGACACAAGCCTTCCGCAGGCCCACGTGGCGCACGCCGCGACCTTGGCGAGCCAGAGTGGACTTCAGGAGGCGCGCCTGCCCGTTTTGTCCTCTTCTGCCCGTGTTTCTTCTCACCCTTTTTTGTAACCGTGTTCCTTCCCGTGTTTTTTTCCGTGATTCTTCCTGTTTCTCTTTGCCCCTGTTTTTCCCGCTTTGCTCCTTTTTTTCTTTTTCTTTTTAAGCTATGAGATTGCATCATCTCTCATACTCTCTCGTCATGCTTCTCTCCTTTTCCACAAGAGTTTGCAAAGATGAAGTGCCAGTGGGGGTATGCGTTCACTCAAGGCAATGCGACAAAGTTGCAGAAACACAATATACACACTTGCGAAACTTGTGCAACGTGCACAACACACCTGATGTCAACATCAGAGTGCTCCTGTCCGACAAGGAATCTCTTCCTACCCGCTGCATGTCATTTGCTAAATGTCGGGAGGCGTGTTTTGTGTGACTTTGATCGTTTTGAGCCTTCCCCATCACACGTACGCGTACACGTACACCACGTACTCACACACGTACACCCCCGCATGAGACAGGTGCTGATTTGTCATGGTTCTCGCACATTTCCGGCAAAGATGCCAAGAAGTCGCAAACGAAGCGCAGACGTTGCTCTTTCGGTGTACGATGGTTCCAGCTGATTTTTGCTTTCCCACAAAATGATGGGGAGCCCATTCGGCAGGGTTTGTCAGGGAAAGCAGCGCGTTTCAAAGCTTTGGGGCTTGATGTTTTGTAACACGCGCACGGGAAGTTGCCGGCGGGACTCCCAAGCTTCCAGGCGGCGAGTGCGGCCAAAGACACAGTGCGACCGCGAGAGGGCGAGACGAGAGCCCTTTGAAGCAACAAGAAATTGATGGGTGTGTCTTGTTTTGTGGGTACCCAGTTTGTTAGTGTTTTAAAGGGAAACCAAAAGGAAAACCACCATTTCGGGGGGTGCCCTTAAAAAAGACACGCCCAACTACCCGTAGCTCTTTAGTTTGACCACTTTGCCTGCATGGCTTTGCTCGTCCCCATGGGTTTGGGGGGGCTCCAATCGATCCATCAAGGCCTGTCAGTCGAGGCCTCCAAGAAAATATTCAGTGCTTGCAATTTGCTGGGCGTTGAAATGTCCAAGGCCGAGAATCCACATTTGAAGCCGCAGGCCGGATTCGCCCGGATTCGCTCGCGGGTGAACTGTGTGGCCTAAGGAAGAGCCGCAGATCGGCATTCTTCCCACGACCAAGTGGGAAGTGCCGCCCTTGCGCTCGCAATCTGACATTCGCGCTGTGCCATTTGTTAAGGACATCTCACTGCAGCGAGGCTTACTGGAGGACGACGTGAGTATTGTTGCATGGCCCACTAGAACGGGTTCTTTAGTCTCTCGCCTATGCCGCCATCTCCCCGTCGGCAACAGCTTCTTTCTCCCAGGAGCTGCGGGCGAACGATGGCATAAGAGCAGTCTGCCGGGAGATTGGTCGCATTGCCAACGCGCGGCCGCCGCGTTTGTTTTTCGCAGTTTGCTTTGCTGATTTGTGGCTTTGCTCACTTGAGCTTTGCCGGACTGGTGTCAGACTGGCACATGGCAGGATGTGGAAGTGAAGGTTGGCAGCTCAGTCTGTTTCTCCATTGGCATTACGCCGAGCGAGCTTCAGATCCCAGGCTCAAGAGCTGCCCTTTGTGGTAGCCGAGGACAGATCGTTGCGAGATCGGTGCGGTCATACTGAGCCATGTCTCAAAACGGCCTTTCTGTTGGACACGACAGGGCACGCCGCAACCGCAGGTTGCCTGGTCGATTCAACGGGGTCTCTTTTTTTTTTTTGAGGGTACCTTATTTTTGGTGGTTTTAAAGGGAAAGCAAAGAGGAAAACCACCATGTTGTGTGGTCCCCTACAAAAAGACACACTCAAAGGTTGGAGTGGGCCTCAATCCAGCATGCTCAGCACTTTGAAGCATCGCTGCAGCAACTCTAGTCAGGATTTTCTCGTCGGTTCGGTATAAATGGTTGGAACCCTGAAAAGTCTTGCTTTGCAACCCTCAGAGGGGTACCAGCGGAAGACACCCAACTCTGTGTGGAGATTTCGTCACATGTGAACTGAGCTCGGGGACATGAACAGTTGTTGCGTGGTGCGGAAGCATGACAAGTTTTTCCCAGTGCGGAAGCACTTAGATTTGTTGTGCGATGACTGCATCACAACTGACCTCAGTTTGGCGGGAACGTTGAACATTTGCTGCTAGGTGCTGCTAAACTCGGTTTGTGGTAGACCTAGCGCAGCTAGTCGAACTGTTTGCAGAGGAGCAGAGACGGCGTTGATTTTCTGGTTCAAACACCTGAGCGTTTTTGATGCACGAACCAATCCATGTTTTTCGGGGGAAAAGAGGTTTCCGTGTCCCGGTTTTCCCTACCGGGTTTGGTTTCAACGTCCCTAGGCCGAACTAGGGGAACTTAACGCTTCTCGTGTGTGTGTGTGTGTGCGTGTGCGTCTGTGTGGGTGTTTGTGTTTCTGTATTTTTGTTTTGTTTGTGTTTTTGTTTTGGTGTTAGGTAGTTGCTGATTTGTTTTGGTGTCTGTGTATATGTGTGTGCGCGCGTGTTTGCTTGTGCGTTTATGTTTGCGTTTGCGTTTGTGCGTGTGTGTTTTCGAGCCTTCCCTCGTCTTTGTTTTTGTGTCTGTGTATATGCGTGTGTGTATGAACCTTCCTAGTCCATGGAGGCAGGGAGTCACTTTCATTTGACACAGGGGGGCAGTGCACGGCTGACAGTCACTGCTCAACGAAGACACTGTCAGACCGTGGTGATGCGGCATGGGACGCCATGCTGTGTACCCTCAACTTTTTCCAGCGAAGTCACCACTCCGAGCAGGTAGCCTTGTCCGTGTGCATGACAACGATTTATGTTTTGGATGCCCTAAACGTTCAGTGCCCGACTGCTAGTGATTTGACTGAAAATGTGTGTGAAACGCTCGGCTCGTCCGGCATGGCGCCGAGTGAGCCGGGGGAACACCCCGTCCTCCCTCAGAAAGCGAGTTCAGTGATTCGTCCGGAGGTTGATTTCTTGAGGTTCCCGGTTGCTCGGAGGCCCACCTCAAGGCCTGTTAACTGCACTTTGGTTGTTCAGATTCAGGTTCCCTCGTTTGCACGGCAAGGCTGCATGCGAGGCTTTGAGGTCGTTTTGATCCTGCCACACTCCCTCCTGTGCAGATATGCAGTGCCTGCTCTGCACGCATTGCGTTGCGCTGCCTGCGTTGCTTGCACTGCCTGCACTGTTCGCATTCTGCAGTGCTTTTGGTTTCCTCATGTTGTTGATGACTCAAGCCGGTGCGCGTAGAGCTCACCGCGCGGAGCGACGCTGTCGTGCCTCATCCGAGAAGAAGCGAGGTCAGTTATGTGCATTCATGCAGCGGATTTAGCGTTGTGAACATGTCATTTCTTTGCCTTGTCCTGCGCGATCCGGTTCATGTTTCATGCATATTGCTGTGGACCATCCTTTCCCCGAGATGCACGCGAACCTGGCCCTGCCATGGAAGACGTCCACGTGATATCGTCACAAGAGGCCCAACCGATGACAGCTGTTTCCACTGACGGTCTCTTCGAGCCAGCTGGGCCTCGCGATGCCAACGGTGCACCCGGTCATGCCCAACCTTCTTTGTTGTTGGCGGAGTACTGTT